CCCTCCCGCGCTAGCCTAAGGGCCACCTTAGCAAAGCGCATCCCAGGCTGCATAGCCGCACTACCCTACCCAACCATACCACACATAAACATGACACTACCCCCGGGGTTTACACAGACGAGCCGGCGAAGCAAGAAGAGCGCCAGAAGAAAGGGCCCTAGCCGGCGGGGCCCAGCCAGGACAAAAGGAGGTCCCACAAAGCGCCTACACCGGCCGCATTTGCGGTCGGGGTAGACGACGGATGGGGCCCACCTACGAAGGCTGTCCAGGCCTACACGAGATGAGGCAGGATAAAGAGGGATAATCCCCCTCGATCCCAAATCATTGAGGCCAATTTCTAGCCATAGAATAATGGCGCACTATACACATATATTTTTTTATTCACTATTTGAAACAGAATAAATACATAATATTGAAGTTCATTAAATCAAGAATAATCAAAAGAATGAGAAGAACATTGTTTCGCAATTACATTAAAGTTACAAATTTTTTGACAGGTACATATGACATATTAAAAAACAAGAATTTTAAGGTTGTATATTTATACGAAATTCGAGTTGTTTTTCTAATATAACATTTTTGATGATAGGATCATAACCATTTGGCTAAAAAAAATAATTGTCCTTATTTTCTAATATTAAAAACATTTCAAATCCAAATAAGTAATACCAGTAGACATCGCTTAATTCGGGACATGTTCCTAAACTGAAGTAATAAATAATCAGAATGAGTAGATGTATAAGTATTTGTTACTGATAGCTTATTCTCTACTAGTTTTTAATGTGTTTCTTGAATATAAAACCATTTTAGCTATTCAAACATTTTACTTTAACGTGTGATATAATTTATAAGTTGTATACTATTTGAATAGTTTCATTTACTTTATTCGTCAGATATAGCTCGGATTATGCATTAGGGGACTTTGATCCATATTCTCTAAAATATTTAAACAAAACCAAAGAAATGACACGTCTAAGAGTGTCATGCTCAGGTTTCTATTGTTATCGCATCGATCATCTCTAGAATTCATAAAAAGGCAAAAAGCATCATCATATATATAGCCTTTTTATATCAGTGTGCAAAATTAAACGGAATGTTAAAATGTTTATTTATTCTGATTTGATCTGGTGATAATAACACAGTTGGCAACATTTTTTCTATTGTGCTTGCATTCTTTTATTTACACAGACAGTCTGGATCTTTACAGTCAAGCAAGTAGTGTTTACTCAAATATATTTTTTATGAAATAATTATTTTTCTAAAAGCAGGGTTAATTATTTTTTTGATTCACTAATTTTGGTTCACTAGTTTTTTAGGTTCATTTTAGGTTATATTTTCCATTATTTTTTAAGATTTATGTACCATATCTTATAAATGAACTATTTTACTTATGTAAAAGTTTATAGATAAAATGAGGCAAACTGATTATACGATATATTTGAAAATTAGAAGAAATAAAAATTTGATATTCCAAACAATTCAATTAAATGTCTACGGGGAATAGTTTGATCTCTTTCAGTAACAACTAAAATTTAGCTCTTTAGAATGCGCAGAAATACAGAAGGCCTTTCCGTCCTTAGTGCTTGATACCAGAAAATTGTACGGAATTAGATAATTATTAGGTTTTAAGGGCATTTCGTTCTAGTTTCGGTTAATGGTTTGAACAGAATAGGCCTTTCTCTTAACATTAAACGTTGAATCAGTACAATTGAAGTAATAAAACTACATTACTTATCAGATTTCACTATTGCTATTGGGTCACTCGACATCTCGACAATATTAAGCTAGTATTACGAACCTCATGATGTTAAAATCTATACCTAACGTCCTTAAATAAATATAGATACGTTTTTTTATGTTTAAATACATCGTAAAATTTAAATAGTTCATACAGTAGTACAGTAGTAGTAGTAGTAGTAGTGTAGTTACATTATTTTTATGTCAGGTAGAATGATAATTTTGAAATATTCATTCAGACATCATCAGCTGCAAATGTGATTATTATATTACAACGAAGTAAAACGAAATTCCGTCAAAAAGTACTGATACTTGGACTTTTAATTAAATGAATGTTTAGAAACATAATTAAATAAAGGACATTAATTAAAATGAGAAGAATAGCTATATGGTTCGTTTCGTACCTTGGGTAGAGTTGTTTGTCCTGCAGGAAATTGAAGCCAGGATACTGAAGTTGGGGTTCCAAATAAGCGATGTTGTATGGTACGTCCGATGAAACGGGTTGCTTCTGAGTCTCTGACACGGGTTGCTTCTCTACCAGCTGTTGTTGCTGAGGACGTTGTTGCTGGGACGCATCTAAACCATTTTCTAGCCTTTCTATTATGTATAGAAGTTGTCTTGGTTCAGCTGCAACATTCTTCACATTATTCTGACGAGGAAGTCCGTTTATAAAAGGCGACGAGAGTAGTAGTAACAATACCGAATACATGTTTTACCTGAAACAAAATATATGGAGCAATTAGGTACCATTAAAAAAATATTTTTATTTAATGTATGGACGAAAATATTAAAGTGGAAAAGGATTATATTCCTGTTACTGTAGGATATGAAAAAAAATTAAAGAACACGATAAAAATTAAGAAGCTCAATTCTATGCCAAATTTTAAGCAAAAATTATTCTATCGGTTTATTTTAATAAAAGCGCAATGACAGTGTAATTATTAAAGCTTCTCAATGTGACCACCCCCTTGTACAATGCATAATTCAATCCTCTGCTGAGGGTCTCGTTCCCACTTGTAATTCTCCATATTGTTTTTTGCCTCATCAAACGCCGTATGAATCTTCTCTTCCTGTAATTAGGCTTTCCCATGATAAATGTCTTCACAAGAAAAAGTCCAACGAGTTGAAATACTGAGATCGCTGTGGCCAAGCAATGGGACCACCACGACCTATCCTTCGAACTGCATTCTTTTAATTGAGGAAATTAGTGACACCTCTTCCATAATGGGACGGAACCATTATGTAAAAAGAACATCGTCTTTCCGATTTGAAGAGGAATGTCCTGAAGTAGTAGAGGTAGATCGTTCTCCAAAAAAGCCCGGGACATCTCTCTGTTCAAATTTCTGTCCTATGTGAGGAAATGTGGTCCGATAAGTTCACTATTAATTATTCCAGCCCAAACGTTTACGGAGAATCTTCTTGAAAATGGGTATCTCGAATAGCATATGGGTTTTCGATTGCCAACACATGATAGTTGTGGAAATAGTTGATTTCATTTCTTGTAAATGTAGCTTCGTCATACAGAAAAGGGTTATTGAAAGAGTGTCCAGATGATTGTTCGACCATTCACAAACACGACCTGTTTGGAAAAGATCCCTGGGGAAAAGTTCTTGTACCGGTTAGTAATGATAGAGATCCAGTATTGTTTATTTGCATAACTTCTCTTTCACAAATCGGTTTAGGGAACGCACATTGTTGCAATATTCATACACAAAAATAATGTTCGCGTATTCTTCATACGAATAAATTAAAGGCATGATTTTAACACAAATGACGCAAAAAATAAAAAAGAACCAATTGTTAATGATGACAATTAACGAACTTACAATCATAATTTTTTTCTAATCCCAGACAAGTTGTTAATTATTAAATTATCCAGCCCTGTAATCACAACAATGTAATTTACTCTTTAGCAACTAACTATACAACCTGGCAACTTCAAACCCCGATATTTCAAGAACCGTTGGGAATTCGGGAAAAGTGAATAGAATAATTNAGCCCCCTTCCGCACCAAAAAGCCTTTGGCTTTTGGATTTGGGGGTTGTCTCATTTCTGTGGTGTGTTTTATGTTTATGTTTTATGTATGTTCAATGCTTTATTGAAAACAGTTCGAGGTTTTATATTTCTTTAAAAGCTGGCTCCAGATGCGATCACTTGCCAAATACTTGTCCAAACTGCTTCTTATCGATACAACCGAAAACATATCTTCACTGGCTAAATATTCTCCAAAGTTCTGCAAAATTTACACTTGCTGCTCAACTGAATTCATTTCCACAGAATGGAATTCGTAACGTTTCTACGTTTGTAAAAAATGGAAAGTGTACCCAATCGGTTGATGTGTGGACAATTGATGATTATACTCATCGAGACCATTAGACATATTTGAGGATATATTTATGTCCTCATATTATACATTGGTACATCGTGGTATAATACAATTTGGCGCTATAGATTTTAATTTGAAAATATTTGACACATTTGTGTTTGACGAATATTTGGCGAGTACCATTTTATCTGGAGCTGGCTTAATACAAGCACATAATTTAACATTTTATGTAGGTACATCATATTCAAACCTCTTTTAAATTAAGCTATACTTGAATATTTTCTGCTTCCCTAAAAGCTGCGAGATCAGGAAATGTGCATGTTTAAATTTAATAGCAAGTATTATTACTTTCAATATTGTCAACGACATTCATAATCATTACACAAAATGGAAGGAAGAGAATATCAACATTTCATATAATTATGGTACCTTTATTTAACTTGAGATTAGAACTTCCAGGTTTCGAGCTATATTAAAAAAATTATAAAATTGTCCTTTCTCTTAATGAAAGAACATACTTAATTATTTGAGTGGTTTAAAGTGGGAGTATTGTTTTATACAAAATACATCTTAACTTCCGTGTACCTTTTATGAAGGAAGGCTAGACAATTATTTCTACTGCACACTACCTGGTGGTGCAAGCAATTAACCACGGCACATAAACATCTTAATATAAACTCAATTCTCTTACGTTCCGTCGTGCTAATTTCTGCCGTATAGGGATAGTAAATTGATGCAGGCAATTTATGGAAAAATATGAAAAAAAAAACAATGGAATACAAGATAGTTAAGATAGATCATGCTACACGATTTGAATCGTAATTAGAAAAATTACCTAGCGGTTCTACTGTCACTATACTATACCAGCTACTCGTTCCGTTCTGTTTATTCTTGTTTGATTTTTAGGAATATTTAATATACCTACCCACAGTTTCTCAAAGTGTAGGTTAAAGATATCAAATTTACGCGATTTAAAAATTATCCCTAATTTACAACTTGTTTCTCTATGGTGCAAATGAAAGGAATAGAAATTAATTCATTATTTCGTAAGTCGGTCACTTTGGACAAATATCCTCAAACAGGTCAATTTTTATTTTTAAAAGTGTGTTTTGCGAGATATTTGTTTTACATATGATGCCATTATGTGAAAGTGATGACGCCATCAATGTTTTTTAAATACTAATGCGGGTCATGCGTAAACTCAACAGCAAGATGGTCCACCCCCACACTATGCTCTATTGGACAACGTCTTTCGATATAGGTGGATAGGGCGAAGAAGATCATTGAATGGCCGCTTAGATCTCCAGACTTAACTCATCTAGATTTCTTTTTATGGGGACACTTAAAAAATAAAGTATGTATATCAAAATATACCACAAAATCTAGATGCATCAAAAGGACGCATTCGGGAGAAGATGGCACAATTCCGGAAGTTACAGACAAAGTTCGAGAAGAGTTTACTGCTCGTCTGTCTTACTGTATTATAACTGAGGGTCATCAATTTGAAAATCTGTTGTAACATGGGTTGTTAAAAATAAATTTTTTGTAGTATTTTACTAAGTACTATCTATATTCTTTGGCACTATACAAAATTATATCACACAAACTTATTGATATGGTTGAATAGAGAATTACAAGACCTTTTAAAAGAGCTATCGCATGATTCATATTTGTATTTAAATATGACGCTGTCACTACTACACAGATGGCGTCATATATAAAACAAATATCTCGCAGAACGAACTCTTAAAAATAAAAATTACCTGTTTCATGATTTTTGTTACTGATTTACGACATAATAATTTTATTCCACACTGTATATTGCACTCCATTCATAGCCATTACTTTGGAAATGGGAAAAATTAAAATAAACGAGTTTTCCTGAATATCGCAAATGTTTCAAAATTTCAAACTCTTGCTTTATTAAATCGTGCACTTTGTAAATTTCTACATATATTTTTCTATATTCTTGGATAGAACACCGTCCTAACGATTACAGTGATGTAAGTTAGACGGGCGTGTTTCTAATAGTAGTTAGAGATAATATTTTCAAAGTTATTACTGTAATCGTAAGACGGTATTCAAATATGTAATAATATGAGCGTTCGATTATAAAAAATAAAAGTCGATATACATATTTGCACATCTTTAGAATGTNTACATCACGTTTTGAAATAAAGAAGCTTATTTTCTTTTAAATCCATAAAAAACCTACGACGTGATTTTCGTGTTTCAAATTCAATCTAGATTCTTCACGAAATTAATATGGTGCATATTTATAATATTACTTATATAGGGTGTTCCACCTTCTGTAACTCTGCAACTGTAAAATTTATTTAAAAAAATGGTTTTAATAAAAGTTGCCTGGAATCATATGGGCCATGTAAAGAAAATATTTTTAGCTTTACAGGGTGTTCCGTTTCGCGGGGGCGCTACATAACTTTGTTATTTTAAATATAACACCCTGTATATTATTGCGCTTTTGAATTTCTTGGTTAATATTAGGTAGCGTTTATTAAATGTACATGGTGTTTAAAACTTACCGTTTTCGAGGTAATCAGTTGTTTAAAAAAAAAATCACAGTTTCAGCTCTCTAAATGAGGCTAGATAGCGTCTAAACTAGGGTTTCTGGTCGAGACTTCTCGAAGCGAGAATTCCCGGGAAATCTGGCCTTACTCGAGACGAGAAAAAAGTGTCGAGAAATCGAGAAATCGAGAAATTTAAAAATCACGCGCGTCTTAAGTTCTTGACTGGAGTTCGTTTCGTTCATGCGTTCAATTCGTTTCTCGACAAATAACTGAGCGGTTAAAGTGGTTTCTCTACCAGCTCATGATTTATTTATTTTAAGTTTTTAAGGCTTTAGTTTACTTTGATGATTCTTTTTTTTAAATGTACAGGGTGATTCACTATATTTTGACCCCCCCTTTAACTTTTTTGTTTTAAGAGTTATAAAAAAATGTGAAATACAAAAGTTGCACGATTTTTTATGAAGTTTTCGAAAATGATAGTAGAAAAACAAATGAAGTTCAAACAAAATGGCCGCGGATGTTAACTTTGTTAATTTAAATGGAACACCCTGTATATTTTTACATATTTGGATAGAACGTTCCTTGTCGAGCATAGTCATATAGGGTTTGTTGGGTCCATCTCTAATAATAGGCGAGATAATATTAAAAAACGAAATGATGTTTTTTTATTAAGAAAATAAGACATCTTGTAATTGTTAGACCTCTTTCAGGCATTTCTGCCTTTTTTCCAATTACGTAAGGATTTAGATTTAGTTGTAATATATTTTGACATATCGGACATTGATATAGTCCAAAATGCGTATAGGTATTTTAAGTAAATCTCACTAATTAGACCGTGTGAGGCCAATTACTCATGGACAAT